GAGCTCAAAGAATGGTCCCCTATCCCATACGGAGGTGAAAACCACATGAGGGAGTAGTTTCTCATTCGTTTAAATAGGATAAGAGCGGGGTTTTAGCTCATGTCATGAATGCAATGCACATTGGGCGAGGAAAAGCATAAAAAGGAATAAAAAGAATGTACACCCTATTATTCTATTCTAATGAACCAAAATTAAATATGTACACACATAAAAAACAAAAAAGTTAGTAAAATAATTAAAATAATCATAACAAAATTAAAACAAATTTATTATTTTATTGTAAAGACAAATAATTAATAAATTGGTGGCTGGATTTTTTTAAAATCCCCAGCGGAGTCGCCAACCTGTCGAGACGTTTCTCTGCCCGGTGACAGAGAGTGCAAATAGTACACCCCAAAGAGTGTAACTAGTCTCGAAAAAGTAAGTGTTTATCCTCCTTGAATCAAATGAAACACCAAGTTGTAGAGTTGCCACCAATCTTTTAATTTGGTGAGATTGGTCACCAAAAATTCATATTATTTTAATAAAATTCCTAAGAATAATATTAAAATAATACAACTCGGGTCTGCTTACCAGAAAAATGAGTTCGTGAGTCAGTTACGTATTGGGAAGGATTAACACGCCCATAACGCCCAAAATTGGTACCAATATTTATTAATTGATGTCTTTGCAATAAATGATAAATTTGCTTCTTAAATTTAAATCTACAAATAACTTAATATAGATAAAATACTAAATAATATTATTAATCATATTAATAATAATAATAATATTATAATCACATAGATTAAATTTTGTAAAATAATAATGATCCTAAAGTATAAATACTAATAATAATTAATCATATAATATTAATAATTAAAATGTAAAATATTAAAATTAATTATTATTATTCGAAATACTATTAAAATAGTGTACTAATTATGTAATTTATCCTATATATATATAAATAATAGTGACTAAAATAAAAAAATAAAAAATGAAAATAAAATTAAAAGGTACAAAAAACCTGATTTCAGGACCAACTTGCAAAGTTTACAGAATATAGAGGCCAAGTGTTTGACCATTCCTTAATTATCCAGAAGCCCCTCCCCAAAACGACGTCGTTCAGTGAGGGTATAAATAAACCCTAACCTGACCATTAAGGCCATTTCTCACCATTTTCCCTCTTTTGCTTCTCTCTTTTAGAGAGAGAAGCTCTGACTTCTCTCTAGACTTATTCACCGAAGAGAGTCGACCACCGGTCGGTCACCGGAAACCACCACCGATAGCCACCGCCGGCCACCACCCTCGATGGCCGAAAAATACCCAAATACACCAAATTGTAGATCTGAGCCTTCTAATCACTATTCCAAACTCCTTTTGGCCTAAAAACATTCTATTTGGCCGGGATCTGAGATTTTACCTTTGATTTCCTCAACTTTCCGACGACGTTCAGACTTCAACGATGGTAAGCTTCTTCACTTTCTTCTCTTTGCTTTCCGTCGCTATTGCTGTTGCTTGCTGTGTCTCTCTTCTCTTTGATTTTTGATGTTTTCGTCGTTGTTTGCTTGGTTGTAGGATTGTGCTATTTATAGCATCTAGAGATCATCTGTTATGATGAGGACATCCGGTGAGTCACCTGACCTATGGTGGTGACTCACCCTAGGCAGTTAGCTGTGCGGTTCTCGTTGATCTTCTGGAGCCTTTGGGAGAACTCTAGAGAGGCGGTGGAGGTGTGGCAATGTTGGAGTGGACTATCTGGACGGTTGTAGATCATCGGCCGGAATAACCCTTTGGGTTGCAATGAGTACCCTAGGGTTATATTTGGGCGAATCTGGGCCCTTGGATCTCCTTCTGATCGTGCGGTGGAGAGCTGCTGGCGGCTGGAGAAGATGAGTCGAAACCCTAGCGTGCATGAGCCTTCTCGTGGGCCTATTGGGATTATTGGGCCTAGATGGTTCTGGGCTTGGTTGTAATATGGGCCTATGAGCCTTGCTTTGTAATCGGGCCTTCGAGCTTTATAAATAATAATAGTAATATATAATATTATTATATATAATAACGTATATAAAATAAATGTCACTCGGACGAAAACTGCTGTCGACAGTCCACCTTTAATATTAGTACTTCTTTCTTTAGGTGCAATGTCGATTAGATCAAAGAATGGAACTTATGGTGAAGATGAAACTATACATGGTATGATCTGCAGAAAAGTAATAAGATAGCAATACAGAACCAATTTACCAGTGAGGAAAGCTAGTAATCTCAACAACCAGAAACAACTTCATTGCAGCAAAACCTAAACAAACTACCCTTAGCTTATCTATATATGCTAATTTATATTCATGGATTCATCACGTAAATCAGATATTTTGAACTGTTTTATATCTTGACATATATTGTTATAAATGTGTGAGTAATGAATGCCCATAACAAGCCTCGTTACGTGATAAGCATGTTAATGATTTTAGATGAATTAATTTTTGCCAATATTATAAGAATAGAACTATACCTCAAACAAAAAAGATATACTTATGATTATTTGACGAAATGGATTTAGTGACTACTAAAACTATAGATTACAAGAACCAGAAGTATTACATGATTTATATGTATATACATTTTAGGATAAAATACACAAATGGTCCCCTGTGTTGCTTTATTGAGTCACCAACTATTAAAAGTGATAAATGATCATTTGACTATAAGGTGTTACTTTATTGAGTCACTTGACTATTAAAAGTTACAAAATGATCATTTGACTAATCATATGTTCCAAACTCATCCTTTTTTGTTACAAAATTGATGAAAGTTTGAGTTGGACGTGAAAATGTTGGTTGAGATATGACATTTGTTTGAGATTTCAGGATCAGATGTTATCATATCACAGTCGGTAATTTAACGTCCAGCTTAAACTGTCACCAATTTTTTAATAGAAAAGGATGAGTTTGGAACATATGAATAGTCAGGTGACCATTTTGTAACTTTTAATAGTTGTGGGACTAAACAAAGTATTGTCCTATAATCAAGGAACCATTTCGTAACTTTTAATAGTCGGGAGACTCAAAAAACATCGCCCTATAATCAGAGGACCATTTATATATTTTATATTACATTTTAATATTTTAATTTGTATTTTTATTAATCAACATTATTATAATTTTAATAATTTGGAATAAATAATTTTACGTATGTATATTTTAATTTAAATCATTGTTCATTTTCATAATAATTTAACTTACAACAATCACAATTATATTTATATCTAATTTGTCATTGCTTGTAATAATATTGTTTCTTCTTTTGCAATAACTTTTAATATTATTGTTGTCTTTTAATTTAATTGTTATCGTACTTAACGTCACCGTAATAATATTTTCGGTCACCATCGAAATTAATTCAATATTTTAATATTGGCAAAAATAAAATAATTTACGCAAATTAAATCGAAATTAATGTTTGCCGATTTCAATTCCACATTCAATATTGAATAAGTCAACTTAATATTCCACATTTTCATTTCGTCATACAAAGATCAACTATCTCCCATTCAAACCATCATGTTATGGTCACGTGTTAAATGATTTCAATGATTAAAAAATATTATTATCTTTTAAAATTGTAAATTCGAACATTACATATATATATATATATATTAAGATGTATAAGTATTTAATGTCAAATTATTGAGTAATAGAATATATTTATATCATCTTATATTCACCTTAAACTAATTAAAAAAATCGATGTTATGGTGTTATCGAGTTAGGACCTTCAATTAAATATTTAAGATTTATTCTATAGTTTGATTATTTAATAACTCGTTGAATAATGTCAGTGATAGAAGATAATATTATTTTTCTTAGAAGATTAAAATTCGAGCAGCTGTGAATGTTATCAACAAATTAAAAAAATATGAATATATATTAAATTGTAATCGCCTCAAACTATTAAAAAAATAATATGACATAACAAATCAAGCATCCATCAACTAATAGAACAACAACAAATTTATCCCCTAAGAACTCATCAATTAATAGAAGTTTTGGATTCGAACAACTGCATCTGCATGGTATGAGCGCTTAGTTAATAATTAAGAAAAATTCTAAATATATATTATCTTATAATCATCTCATACAAAATAAAAAAATGTATCCCCTAGAAACTCATTTACAAAAATAAAAGAAAAAATTTCAACAATTTCACTTGGAAGGAGTACTTATTAAAAAACGAAAAAGGAAAAATTGGGAAAATATGAAGGAAGTAGATGAAATGGAAAGACCTATAAGTTTTAAAATTACTTTTTTTATTTTAAAATATTCTTTTTTAAAAATTAAAAAATACATTAACTAAGTACATATATTTTTAATAATAAAAAGATGAAAATATATTTGATATTTTTTTTCATAATACAGACACAAAAATATTATACGATAAATCTCATATATATATGATCTCGAGGTAGATTAGAGATTTTATCCTTTAAAAGTTGTTTAAAAAGAAAATACAATTTACATTTTGATAGATTTAAATAAGGGTCAATTTATCAATTAGATCTAAAATTAAAATGATTAAATCATTATTTACTAATTCTGACATATTTATTTTTTATATTTTTCAAAAATTAATTTGAAAATTTTCAATAAAACCCATTTTGTTCTATGTTTTATTTTATTTTATTATTATGTGATAAGCGAAGACAATATATATTTAGAGATAACTTTTAACTTCTTTACATTGAGCACCTACATCCCTTTCTCAAAGAATAACAATAATTTATTTACGACGGAAGTCAATTAGTTCATGCTTTATTCTATGTTTTTTTATTTTTCAAAGAAAAAAACGAAAATCTACCTATGTTTCATGAAATTTTAATATTTCTAAGCAATAAGTAAAAACATGACGGGGATTCATAAACACAGCCTCAAAAAATCAGTAAAACAAATCCAATGAAGAAACCAAATGAAGAAAACGAAAACAAGTTTGAAATTCAACGTCTTGTTTGTTTTCAATACTGTCTACCTGTTACCACTAATCTTCCCTCTGTTTTCACCATTAATAGCACCGAATGAAATCCGTTTCAATTCTTCAATACTTGCACAACTCTTCCTTGTTATCATCATCAACCTTCCTTTCTTCTCTTTTGACGATTTATTTCCCGGCGGTGTCAATTCAGTAGCGCCGGTGACCGGCTGCTTCCGATTCTCTTTCCTCAAAGTTGCTGAAAAATGGGGCACCGGTGGAGCCAAAACAGAGGGACTTTTCCTAGAAATCGCCAGACTTGAACTAGATTTCACTAGTTTCTTTTTCTGGGTATTTTGGAATTCGATTTCTTCACTTTCTTTTTGCTTCCCACGTTTCATTCTCAGCCTTGTTTCTCTTAACTCTGCATATGCTCTGTATCTGGGACCTCTTTCCAATATATAAGTGTCTGTTGTAAGCCTCAGAGGAATTGGGTTATTGGGGCTTGAATTTAGAGAAAGAATGAGAGAAATTGGATCGAGCACATGATTAAGAGATTGTAAATATGAATTTGGCTGATGGGTTGGCCGCGGAGAATTCCTTGTCCCTACCATTTTTGGTGAAGTTTTAAGGTCCCCTCTGTTTCTTGCTCTGTTTTTGTAGGGGAAAAGAGTCAACTGTCAAAGAAAGCTAATGGTTGAATTTAAAAAGTCAGTCTTTTGTTGAAGTTTTATTTTTTTACAAATTCTAAATTCAATACTATTTAATATTAAAATAATAATAAAGTATAATTTTAGGGATAAATATATTTTTAAGTAATCGTATGTATAATTACATGTACAATCATTTACGATATATTCTATAATTATTTAATTAAAATCAAATATTATTTGATATAATGTATGTATTATTCGACTTCTCTCCACTCATGAATCGCTGGTATCAAAATTTTAATATTTTTGGTCTCATATACTCATACATATGTATATTGTATTAGTTATAATATTAATTGAACTAAATTAAATCGATTAAGGAGATATATATTCTTTGGATATATTTTTAAAATTTATTTTTAATAATTTATTATTGAGAAAATAACTTCAGTGACCGAAAATGCTTTATAATATACGATTTTAACCAACTTTTTTTGGATTTGCGAAAATGACCAACAAATTCGCAACGCGAACTCCAATTTCGCAACACAGTTTCCAAATTCGCAACGCGATTTCTGAATTCGCAACTCGATTTTCGAATTTGCAACACGAATTTTAATTTCGCAATAGGTTTTATTTTCGCAACACAAATGTTTTGGGTATATAACTACGCAACAGTAACAACTCATAACCTAAATCCCTAAATCGCAACTCATTCCATCTCCATCTATCACTCTCTCCGACGACATTCGTTCCTATATCCAACGACTTCCTTCCCCATCTCTAATTTTTTTTACATAATTTTATTTCTATATAATTTTTCAATGATTTCTCTCCCAAATTATCAACTATCAACTTAATAAAGGTACGTTTTTCTCTAAGTTAATGATGATATGTAGTTTATAGCTCGTTTGTTTAGTAAATTAATTTACAATTTGTAGAATGAAATCATCTAATGTTGATCATGTTTGGATAGATTTGTGTTTTTGAGGGTCATGGGAGAATGTTCATGGTGTTTTACAATATATGCCTTTACCCATGAATCTTCAATTAAAACTCTCATTAAAAAAGTTAACTTATGAAACTCTAATGTTACGTGTTGCAAAGAAATTGAATTTAGAGCCCTAAGTGGATTTAGGCTATCTTATCAGAGAAAATGTAAAGTTTATTTGTTAACCGACAATGAAGATGTTGAACGATTCATTGCTTACATTAGTGTTTCGCAAGAAGATGATATTACATTGTATGTTGTTGAACCTAGAAGTAGTGAAGTTGGGTCAGTAGCGGGTAGTAATCAACTAAGTTCTTCAACCCCAGTTTATGGTGCTCACAATGTACAACATTGTTATCAACCTCAAAATTTAATGGTTCCACCACAATTTCATCACCAAGAAAATTTTATTTCACCACATTTCCAATACCAAACACAATCTCAAAACCCATAACCTTTTCCTAATCCAAATCTCAATCAACTTTCAGCACCAAATTTCAGTTTTCGTATTGACCAGTTAGACGATTATGAGCCAACAGAAAAAATTGTGAGTACTAGTCAGTATTCGAAATTTGATCTTGGTCAATACCCAGACTTTGATCTTGGTCAGTACTCGGATTTTGATGATGTTTCAGAATAAGAAACAGACCCTGCGTGTAATGATTTTGATATTGGTCATTACCCAAATTTAGATGATAAAATAGTCGCTGCCGAGGAAGATGTTGTTGATAATAATGATGAGGAAGTTACGACTGTGAATGAACATGTTGAACATCCATTCTTTAATTCATATAACCCTGAAGAAGAAAAAGAAGAAAAAGAAGTCCCCGAAGAAAAGAAAAAGAAGAAAATGCCACGGGAGTATAACTGGAATATACCAGAATTACTTCAGATACCGGAAGAAGAGTTGGTAAAGATAGCAGTTGATTGTTACACAAAAGTTATTCGTATCAAGAAAGATGATTATTTTGATACAAAAGAAGACTTGAAGATAGCTTTGTATACGAAATGTGTGGAAGATGGCTATCAATTAAAAGTTAACAAATCAAGCAAAGATCGTTTCGAAACAAAGTGTATGATTGACAAAAACTATACGTGGCGTATGATTGCAAAAAGGATAAAAGATTGTGAAATGTTTCAAGTTAGGACTTTTATTGATAAACATATATGTTCAAGAACCCAAGTTTTTCCTCACCATAGACAGACAAACAAAAAGGCGTTGGGTGGTTTTCTGGCTGAGTTAATGTTTTTGAATGGCAGGGTATATCGGGGACATGAAATTATGACTGACATGAATGCTCGGTTCAATATTAGTATCTCATATTCTCAAGCTTGGAGAGCCAAATGTTATGCATTGGAATTGTTGAAGGGGTCTCCAAAAGCATCATTTGCCCAACTGCCGACTTATTGTTACAATTTAAAGCTGAAAAATCATGGGTCGGTAACTCATATCAAAGAAGATAGAAATGGACGCTTTGAGTTGTTGTTTATCACCATTGGTATTGCGATTAGTAAATCAATATAATTTTGTTGACTCATTTTTGTTAGTTACATACATTTCACATTTAAATGATTATATTTCTTGTGTATATTATTTTGTAAATTCGTTCGTTTATTACTTGCATATGCCCATTTATTATAGTTGACGGAGAACATTTGAAAGGTCGATACCTTGGAGTAAACTTATTAGCAGTAGCCATTGATGCTAACAATGAGATACTGCCAATAACTTATGGGGTTGGCAAATCTGAAACCTCTGATTCATGGACATGGTTTATGGGTATCTTAGGGATTGCATAGGTCCTATTAGCAATCTGATAATCATATCTGATAGGGCAAACTCAATTGACAACGCTGTTAGAACGTGTTTCCCAGATGCTTTTTATGGACTTTGTGGTGTTCATTTGTACAAAAATCTAAAATCATGGTCTACTGGTATAAAAATCACAAATGGACATACTGGAAGGCTGTAAAAGCTTATCGGGAAGTGGATTTTAATAAGCATATAAATTGTTTAAGATGTGTTTTGCCTCAATGTGCTCAAACACTAGAAGATGTCAGATTTGAAAGATGATCAAGAGTACATCAACTTGGAGCAATATATGGTTTAATGACGTCTAATAGTGCAAAATCAATCAACGCTCTAAGTTTTCATTCCCAAAAATTACCCATTATTATGTTAATGGAGTTTTTTTGAGCCTCTATTCAACAGTGATACTACAAGAAAAGAAACCATGCAGGTATTGTTTCTTTAAATTCGTAACTTATCATATTTATATATTTTACTAAGTATTATTTATTTAAATTTATAGGAACATTGGAATGTCGTGTTACACCATGGACTGAAAAAAAGATAACGAAACGTGTTGTGAAGCCAACATCATGGAGAGTTGAACCATGTTCAAACACTTTGTTTGAAGTATTGGATAATAACTTAAATGAGCTTGTCGATCTAAATGCAAAGACGTGTAGTTGTATGAAATGGCAAACATCTGGTTATCTGTGTGACCATGTTATAAAAGTTGCTCTTCATCTAAACCAAGATGATTCAAGCGCATACACTATGGATTGCTACACTACATAAGTATATCGACAGACTTATGTCGAGATTTTCTACCCTATTTCACATGCTTCTGAATGAGACATACCGGAATACTTACAAAAAGTTTTACCACCAGTCATGGACAGCAGGCTACCTGGTCGACCAAAAAATCACGATCGTATACCGTCTAAGGGTGAAGAGAAGAGGATATCGACATGTAGTCGGTGCAAGGAAAGTGGTCATACAAGGTTGACCTGTGGATCACCAGTGCCATCACAATCATCTTTTCCTCTACCAAAATATGGTTCCTCATAAAAATCCAAAGCTCATATGGTGCCAAGCAAAAGGAAATCAAAATCGCAATCAAAATCCCAATCACAACCGGCTTTACCTTTTGGGACTTATTAACTTAGATGATTTTTAAATGCAAACGTTGTATTATGTGTATTTTATGTGTGAATGCATACATTTTCAGTTAGACATGCATTAGTAACTTGAGTTTGAACATTGTTATGATCTGTTCAGTTGTTATCACTTATCAGATTGTTGTCTGTTATCTTTTTGAAGGTGTTTTCCTTGAATTCGCAACGCGAAAGTCAAATTCACGTTGCGATTTTTGTTGCAATTGTTGCGAAAGTCAACGCGAAAGTAAATTTCACAACGCGAATTTGACTTTCATGTTGCGAATTTGACTTTCGTATTATGAATTTGACTTTCACGTTGCGAATTTGATTTTCGCATTGCGAAAGTGTACCTTCAATAGGTCTTTTTTGCCTTCAACATAATGTAGATTGAAATTTTCTTAAACAACAAATCAACTTTTACAAATAAATTAAACAAGCAAAAAACAATTCTTATTTACACATCTAAAAAAACAAATCAACAACACATTGATACAATTAGCCCCATACAACAAATTTCACGCAACTCACTTCATGATTAACCTGCATAAATCAAACATTTGCTCAAATAACACTTTCTACACATCTAAAACCAACAAACAGCAAATTATTGAATTCTAGGTACTTAACCAAACATTTTCAAACCAACAAAGAGTACAACACTTGCTCAAACTTACCAATAACAAATGGTTGTTTATGCACACTTTCAGTACGTGGATGCAGATAGGCAACGTCTCGAATATATCGCTCTAGCCATAAAATGACAAAACCACAACCCTACTGTACCTCTATCTATATATATGGGAGGTAGAAACTGTTTACTTCATGTTTTCAAACTTTCCAAGCACATGCATACAAGAGAACCATAATCCCCTCTGGCTCCCACCGTTTGTTGTGGCGCTGTCTCATCTATAATCATTGTAACTTTAAACTTTTTTGGCTTCTTATTTCCAAAATTAGTCCAATAATCAATCGCATCCAAGTATTTAGCCAAATGAGTGCTCCATCCCTTACAAAATAATATCTT